CAAAGGATGTTTTTAATAACACCGATCCCCATCCCAACTTGATGGATATAAGGAAACCACATCTTTAAGTCCACCCTGGGTGGGGCTCCAAACCATGGTCTGAAAAATGGGGCTATGGAAGTGTCTGCTTTGGCTCGGCCTAGAAAAGACTTCAGAGCAGCAGAAGTTTCTTTGCCTGTTGGGCTCATTCAGCCCCTTCCAGGCCCCACAAGGCAGCCAGGCAGTACAGACCCCCTGTGCCCAGCTCCCCTAGCAATCATTCCAACCTCTGAGAGCTCAGCTGGTCCTGCCAGGACTGCCTGCCTGCCGCTCTGCAATCTAAAGGGAGTGCCTGGGGTTCAGGCCCCACAGGGGTCCCCAACACCACCTCCTGCTGTCCTCAGGAACGGGCAGTAGGTTTGGACACAGCTAATGAAGAGAAAGGAAATCTTTGGGCGACACGCACCCAGGGAGGCCTGTTTCAGATGGGTGGGGCCAGAAGTCTAGAAAAATAATAAACAAAAACAAAAGTGAAGAGAAGCAAAGCTCTTGGGTGCCAGAAAGGGGCTGGCCGAGGCTGTGGCTGCCTGAGTAATGGGTTCCACATTTGCCTGGCTCTCAGCAACCAGGATGCAGAATGCACAGTGGGCCCTGCAGGGGCCAGAGGGGACAGCCCAGCTGTGGCCAGACCTAGGCTGAGACATATCCTTTGTGAAGGCCTCTTCCCCGGCTGGCCACAGGGAGTGCAGCCCTTGTTCTGAGCCCATACTCCAGCACCCCAGCCTCTCCCCGCCCCCGCCCGCAGCTCCTGGGTCCCTGCCGGCCTGCACAGATTGTTCGCGTTATTAATGCCGTTTTCCCAGAGATTCCATCTGGCTTTTTAATTGCTCTGGGATGGGGCTAGGATGCTTTGATAGTGAATTGGTATCTTTCCTATGTCTCTGCTTGCGTCAAATCCTCCATCCACAGAAAGGCGTTTGGGGGAGGGGGAGGAGCAGGGGTGTCCTGAGAAGGGAGATAGTGAGAGACTTTCAGAGAAACAAGAAAGACCTTTCGAAGGTGAGGCACCGGTGGTTTAGTTTCACCTGAAGAAGAGTAAAGCCCTGCCCTTCCCGCCAGCGTAGGAAGGAGCAGAAGGAATAGTGCCTTGGTCCAGGCACGGACGCGGCCCTGTGTCTGTGGAAGGCCTGTGGGTGCCTGGAAGGTGAGCTTCGTGGCTGAGCAATGTCAGGGTTTCCCCCTTGACCTGCTCCATGAGTGGCCTCCTGCTTCCTCCCTACTCCCCATTTCCTCCCAGGAAATCAACAGCTCTCTGAGAGGAGATGTGGCAGGTTCCTGCCTGGGAAGGTGGGGGCGGGAGACCTGGGAGCGGCAGACACTCCTCACCAGTCCCAGTGGCTCATCACAGGTGTCAGGGCCAAGCCCCATGTTCACAGATTCCCAGGAGATCCAGGAGATAAGGGGGACATGGCGACAACCATCAGGAGGCATCCGGTGCCAAGGGGCACCTCCCCATCTCCCTTCTGCCTTTGCTCCTTCCCTGGAGCCTGGCTCCCCTGAACAGTGCTCTCAGGGGACCCTGGGTTCCAGAGGTCTACTGAGGGGCTGAGGTCCCTGTCGCCCCTCATAGGAGAGGCAGCCAGGCACAGTGGACTTGGTCCATGGCCCGGTCTTGGTCAAAACTGCTGCCTCCAAGAAGCCTTCCCTGGGGGCCTCTACTCCACTTTGAACTTCCCCTTATCACCCTGTCGCCCTTGAAGAACATCTCGGGTCCACAGGCCTGTGCGTTCCACACCCCCCCACCCCCGGCATACAGTAGGCATCCAATAAATACTTGGGGTGTGTTCTTGTGCCAGACTCTTGAAGTAGGTCTTCATGAAGGCTGTAGTCAGGAGGGGAATCATGAGGGCCCCTTCAGGAAGCAGTGGGTGGTAAGGATCAGCTCTCTGTGGGGGCCCCTCTGGCTTGGCACAGCGCACGTGCCAGGCAGGTTCACCCCACGCTCCCCCCTCCCCCCAAGTGTGTTGCTCTGTCTACTGGAGACCCTACTGGGGGCCTCATGGGCCCCACCCCTTTCCTGGGGCTGTCTTGTCCCCAACAAAGCCTGCCTTGGACCCCAGGGTCTGTGGCAGGAGGGGTGCCCTTTCGTGAGCAGACAGCTTTGAAAGAGGAAACCCCTGGAGTCGGGACAGTGGAACCGGAGAGAGAGGCGTGAGGGCAGGAGGGGCGCCCCTCCCCCATTTGTCTCGGGATCTGTTCTGGGGGCAAAGGGGGAAGCCAAGGCTTGGCCCCCTCAAACAAGAAAAACTGGAATTAGCACTGAACTCAGAGAGGGTTTGCTGGGGCCTAGCAAGCTGTGGCCTGCCCCAGGCCTCTAGGCAGGCGGTGGGGCTCTGCCTCCTTGGTTCCCAGGCAGTGGGGCAGGCTGCCGCCTCCTCACCGGGGCCCTCGGCCTTTCCTCCACCAAGGGCGGCCAAGGGTGAGGAGGAGGCAAGACAGGGACGGAGAGAAAGGACGGCGGAGGAGGTGGGGGAGTGGGGTGGGAGGCGGGTAAGTCACCCCATTCACCACACGGGCAGGTGAAGTGAGAATTTTCAGAATTTAAAAAGAATGTGTAATTTCTTGAAATGGTCACAGCCCACGTTGGCATATGGCATCAGCTGCTCAAGTGAACTGTCTCGGGGTAAAAACAGAAGGCAAAGAGTTTTGCCTTTTACCCTCAGAGAGAGTCAACTCTGAAAGCCCTGGGTCCTGGGTTGCTTCCTCCTGGGCCCTCTTCTTGCGGGCATGAGTGCGTGCCCTCCCTTGGCAGTCCAGCACCGCTGCTAGGAGGAGGGGGATCCCGGATCCCTGTCCTCATGGGGCAGTTGTTGGAGTCGGGGGCTTGGTCCGGGGTGGGCACAGTGGGGAGGCAAATGCTGGGCCTGTTCCTTGCCTTCCAGGCAGTGTGTGGGGAAGGGCCAGACACCCAGTGCAGGCCTGCCGTGGGTCCCCCTTCCTGGGTGGGCTGGGGCAGGGCAGGTGAGGAGGGCTGGGTGGAGGGCTCCTGTCAGGGCCCCCGCTGGGAGAGGCAGCAGGCACGTGGGCCTGAGCCAGCGGGGAGGGGTGGAGGGTCCTTACCGCTTGTGGCCTATCCCTGCCCGCCCACGGTTCCCCCGGAGGGCTGGGGCAAAGGCAGGTGTGAGCAAGGCTTCCAGAGCTGAGGCTGGGAGTGATCTGGAAGTCAGTGTGGTCAAAGGGCCTCTGGAGCCTGGAGCTCCTGGGCCAGGCCTGCCGCGTTCCAGAGAAGCTGTGGCAACTTCAGGCAGAGCGCCCCCTCTCCAAGTCCCTCTTCTCCTCCCAGGAGCTGAGAGGCCACACGAAGGCCCGGTGATACCTCCGCACACCCCTCTTCCCACCACACATCCGGAACCTCTCCAGGCTGTGGCCTTCTCAGCTTGGAGCCTTGTCTACCTTCTGCCATTTATTTGCCTTGGTTGGGAGAAGTCGCCCCCTTAATGTAAAGAGGGGCTCAGGATGGTGGAGAGCTAATGAAAGTCAGGCTCTTGGCCAGAGAATATTCTGTGATTATTCACAAATGTGACCTGGCCCACAGAAAACCTTGGAAGTAGATTTTCTAGTTTTAAAAAGACACCAAAACTGACTTTGATATGTTTATATTATAGATATAATACATAAAACATCTAGCATGAAACTCTATGTCCTCCCCAAAGAAGAGAACCAAAGCCGCCCTCCCCGCTCCCAGGCCCAGCGATCGAATCGGTGAGTGAATGCTGGCTGAGGCCACCTCCCTTCCAGACCCGGAGCCAGGGCCTCTGGGGAGACCAGGCTGTGGGCAGCCCGGGCCGGAGGGGACCGAGGCCCACAGCCACCCCCAGGGAGAGCTGAGGGGGAAAGGGAAGCCCACCTCGCCTCTTTGGTTCCCCTGGGAGCAAAAACAATCCCAAAACCAAAAGGAAAGAGAGCCGCAGACCCTCCCTGCAGCTGCTGACGAAGAGTCTCATTTTGGCAAGTTTCTGAGCAAAACCAAAACAAAACAAAAACCAAATAAAATGGTGGTTTAGCATAGACGTGCACATTCACATTGCACAAGGCACCGCAGGGACACAGAGAGGCCAGATACAAGTGTTGATGTCGGCTGATAAAGCAAAATATTTGGAAAGCTTCTCATAACTTCGGTCCCTCTGGGATGGACTGATTGTGCTTCATGTGTATATGGCAATGCTGGCGACATACAGTACAGACAAGGCTGATGGTCCAGTGTCCCTTCACCACCCCCTAGACCCCCAGACCAGATCTCTAGGTTCCCTGCTTCCACCAGACCACCACTCCCATGAACATATGTCCTAGCTAACCCTCGACCTAGCTTTCTGATCTGACTGGGGGTCGCAGGCTCCCACTAGGTCACCTGGTGACATCCATCTCAGTGAGTTCTGCCCGACAGAGCCCAGCCTGTTGCAGGCTGGGAGTTCAGAGGCAAGGCACTGGGACCCTCCACCTTCACGAAGAACAAGGGGAACAACCTTAGGTTCAAAGCCCCAAGTCCCTGTGTTTCCTCCCCTCCAAAAACAGGCGCTCAGGAGCTGCCGCCAGGGCTGGCTTATCGGGATCTCTGCTCCCTGAACCTTCCTCCTGCCGGGGCCTGCACCCCTCCTCTCGTGGGGGCAGGAACCCTCCAAATAAATTGACAAGGCACATATTTGCTCCCCCTACTCGGTAGGAATCGGAGCGGTGAGTTTGCGTTTCCAAGGCACAGGGTTATTCCTTTAATACTAGAGTTGCCGGGCTCCCGGCTCAGCCCCATGGCGCTTCTCTTCTCTGCCTGACCCCTCATCTTAGACGCACCGTGTCCGGCGCAAAGGAAGGCAAGGGGCACGCGCAGCAGGCCAGGCTCTCAGGCAGCACCGGAATCTCCTGGTCCTGGCTTACGCGGTTCGGGCAGTCTTGAGATCCGGAGACCCGAAGCCACTCCCTGGGTCCCAGCCGGCAGCCGTCCCAGGGCGGTCCCGCTGCCGCGCGCCTCACGCGCAGTTGCCCATGGCCTTGACCAGGGAGCTCTCGGGCAGCTGACGGAAGATGCCCCGCAGCGTGTCCAGTTCGCGGCTCAGCTGTTCCACCCGCTTGCGCAGGCGGTCATTGTCACTGGTCAGCTCCAGCACCTTCTGCTGTGTCTCCACGTTGCGCTGCTTGGCCTTGTCCCGGCTCTTGCGCACAGCGATGTTGTTGCGCTCGCGCCGCACCCGGTACTCGTTGCTGTTCTTGTCCACGGACTTCTTGGCTTTGCCGCCGCCGCCGCCGCCGCCGCCGCCCGCACGGAGGTCAGGGTGAGCGGCGGCCAGCCCCTTGAGCGTGCCTCCGGGGCCTGGCAGGCCAGCGGCGCCGAGCGCGGGCGCTGGGTGCGGGCTGGGCACGGGCGTGGGCGGCGGCGTGGGGTGGCCGGGCTGCAGGTGCATGGTGGTCTGGCCGCAGTGTGCGATCTGGAACTGCAGGTGCGGGGCGGCCAGGTGAGCGGGCGGCGGGTGCGAGTGCGGCGGCGGCGGCGGCGGCGGCGGCTGGTAGGGAAAGAGGCCGGCCAGCGCCAGCTGCTTCGCCTCGTCCTCCTCGCGCGGCTCCTGCTTGATCACCAGCGGCCGCAGCGCCGGCGCCCCGACCCGCTCGTACAGAGGCTCCAGCCTGCTGTCCAGGTAGCCGGCCGCCGCGCAGCCGTAGCCGGGAGGGGGACCGTGCGTCCCCCCGGGCATGACGGCGCCGCCGGGGCCCACGGGGCCGCCCGGGTAGTCAAAGTCGTTGCCGCCTCCTGCGGGGGCCGCGGCCGCCTTGGCCTTCTCCTGCTGCCGGCTGTGTTGGAACAGGTCGGCCAGGAACTCGTCGTTGAAGGCGGCCGGGTCGATGTAGGCGCTGATGTCGATGGACGTCTCGTGTTCGCAGATGCCGCCCAGAGGCTCCGGGGCGGCAGGTGGGGCGGGGGGGTGCGAGGGGCCCGCGCCCCGGGGAAAGCCGAAAGCGGCGCTGCTGGGCGCGTGTGGGGGGCTCTGGAGGTGGCTGCTCATCGGGGGCCGCGGCTCCGCCTCGTAGAAGTCGGCCGACTCCATGGGGGAGCTAAAGTCCTCCCGGCATGGCGAGCCTCGGCGGCCTCCAGCCTGCGCGGGGCGCCGCTGCCGCCGCCGCCCACCCAGAGCCCCTACTCGGCTCGCGCCCGCTCAGCTCCCGGTCGCGAATGGCCAGGCCCGCGCGGGGCCCGAATTTATACCTGGGCGGTTTGTCGCCCTCTAGTGTCCAAACGGTGACAACGGCGCAGCGCCTCCTGGGTCTTAGCGCCTGCGGTCTGAAGAGGGCGGAGAGTGGGGCTGGAGCTCAGCTCTGGCGGGGGAGGGGCCGCGGGGCAACGCCCACTACCTCCTGTGTCTCCAGCCGAGCCGAGACCCGTGCGCGGTGCCCCACCCTCGGTAGAGTTGTCGCCCCCGCCCACGAGTGGTCGACGGCAGTGCCCCCTCCTCTAGCTTCTCCAGGGCACCCACCTCCAGCCAAAGACCGGGGAGCCCGGGAACACCCGACGCCGCACAGGGGTTTAGGGCTGGTTGGGGTGGGCGGAGAGGCAGGTCTTGGTCTCTGAGCTTCCCTGGAGAGGACTCACTTTAAAAGCTGGAACCGGTTCCGTCCGGGTCCGGGCACTCTGCAAGGAGGCTGCGTAAAAAAGGGGTCAGGGGTGAGGGGCAGGGAACAGTTTCGGACGTGCGGCCCAGAGCACGTTGCCGCTTGGAGATGCCAAGGAGAACTGGGATTTTGCATCTCTCTCTGATACCCAGGCACCCGCACATGTTCCGCGCAGAAGTACCTCTCCGCTCCGCTCGCCCAGAGCAAGTGCTCCGGGGTCACACGGGCGCGCAGTGCCGGGCGCTAGGACCCCGCGGGGAGCAGAGGAAAGGGGAGGTGGCTGTAGTCCTGGAGTCTAGAGGACTCGGCTCGTCCACCCGCCCCGGCTGGGAAACTTTCTTGTTAATTACTTCTCCTTGCCGGAGCTCTAGGTGTTGCTAGGTGCACGGAGTTGGCGCTGCTACCCGGCGCGGGGCCGCCAGTTTTTTTCCCAGCGGGACGGGCCCAGCTGGATTCCGGGGCTGGGGTACCCGGGCGAGGGGAGACGCATAGAGGGAGGAGGCGAATTTGACTCCGAGACGGGGATCCCGAACCGGGGCCGGCGATCAACAGCGCTGAAACCCACAACCTTCTCCCTTACTCCTCATTCAGGTGCTCTCCAAGGCGGGAGCAGGGCTGTGGAGAGAGCCGGGGCCTCCGAATCTCTGCGGCTCAGGGTCGGAGCACCTAATGAGAGAGCCCTGCAGGCTGGTTCGCAGGACGCTGGGTCCCTGGAATCCTGAGGAACAAGGTGGCCGGGCCCCGGTGACCCCTGGGCGCCGCCTCCGCACTGGCTGCTGTGGGGGGAAGGGGTTTACGGCAGCGCGTTTCCCCAGCCACGTGGCGCCTCGCGCGTTCTACTTAGGGATCGCGGGGACAGCCTACTCCCTTGGGGCTTCGTGGGCCCGCAAGTTACCCCCGCTTCTAGTCCCCATTGCCCCTTATCGACTAAGTGCCCCGAAGACCAATGCCGTCTGGGCACTATTTGGAAGTTTGCCTGCTTGAGAATCCCCGGGGCTGAGCCCGTGACGACCCCTCCCCGACCGCGGGCGTCCAAAGGCTGGCAAGACGCCACCACTCGTCCAGGAGCCCTCAAGGAGACGCAGCGTAAAAGCAAGGCCGGGGGAGGCTGAACTTCCACTGTGGTCACAGCAAAGAAGCAGCTTCGTCTGGGGAACGCAGACTGGGCTTTAATCAAGTTCCTATTCAACATACTCCCCATGATTAATGGCCCAACTGCTTCATGTTTTGGTCCAGAGCTCATACATAAGATATTTTCAGCTTGATACTTTTGGCCTGGGAGTAAAAGTGGATGTATTCAATAAATGCATATATGAGGAGCTGCTCTCTGCCCCAGGGTGCAGGACCATTTATACACCGCGCACCTCTGGAGACCTGGAGGGAAAACATGGAATGAGATTTTCATTTTTTGCTGCGATGCTAAAAATAAGTCTGCCCCTGTGCAGGAACAGAGAGAGGGCTATCAACAGTGACCTGTTCTAGCTTGTACATCTGCTGCCCTGTGCACACACCTGGCAAGCCTCCTCTTAGGATCCACGAAAATTGCAGAGGCTCCTGGGCTGGGGGAGCATTGGAATAAAACCTTGTTAGTAAGACCTAACTGGGAGTGAGAGATACCAGGTGGGGCTCAGAGCCAGAGCTGTAGGTCTTCTCACGGCAGAAGCAGAAAGCTCCCCACGAGGCCAGCTCTGTGCAAGGTGTTTAGTGCCCAGAGGTGAGGCAGAAGCAGCTCCTGCCCTCTCAGAGCTCTGGTCACAGCTGGGGAGACAGACAAATTGTCACACAAAGTCTGCTAAAAGACGGGGGCCTCTTCACAGAGGAGGCAATGCAGAAGGAGCAGGAAATGGGATTGGGTAGAGGCAACGAGCCCATGACTTTGTCAGATGTATGTTGGGAGACATGGATGCAGAGGAAGGATGAGTGTGTTGTGATAAAGGGACGTCCTGCTCTGGCAAATATGGCTTTGAAGGAGGGTGCAACCAACTCAGGAGGTGCTACAGGCTAAACTGTGAAAGTGTTAGTCATTCAGTTATGTCCGACTGTTTGTGACCCCAGGGACATAGCCCACCAGGCTCCTCTGTCCATGAAATTCTCCAGGCAAGAGTACTGGAGTGGGTTGCCATTGTATTTGCCTCAAATTCATATGCTGAAGCCACAACCCCCAGTGTAATTATATTTGGAGATGGATTTTTCAGGAGGTATTTACAGTTCAGAATGTCATAAATGTGGGGTCCTAGTCTGATAGGATTAGAGGGCTTATTTTAAACAAAGGAAGAGAGGAAGCATCTCCCCACCACTCACCACCTCCCATGTGAGGACCCAGGGAGAAGGTGGCATCAGTAAGCCAGGAGGAGAGCCCTCACCAGAGCCTGACCATGCTGGCACCCTGATCAAAGACCTCCAGTCTCCAGATCTGGGAGAAAGCTCATTTCTGTGGTTTAAGTCTTCAGTCTGTGGTTTCTTTTATGGTGGCTCAAGCTGACCTGGATAGGAGAGGGCTTCCTGTAGGAGTGGACCTTTGAGCTCCACCTTGAAGGATGAGCAGGAATTTGCTAGAAGAGAGGTGCAATTTACAGAACGGCATGTTCAAAGGTGGAGCGGCTGCAAGTACATGTCATGTTCTGGTGACAAAGGACAAGACGTTAGATGGACTGGAGTGCAGGTATTGCTGGGGAGGGGCCTAGATAAGGCTGGATCCACAGACGGGGCTGGGTTCATGGCCAGGGAGACTACCGGGGAAGGAGAGAGCCTCTCTTACAGGCATTTGCTGTCCATTTTTTAGCAGCGGAGGACTGTGATCCAATCTGGTTTCCTGAAAAGCCACTCTGCCAGGGGCTGTAAAGGGGACTGTGGACCAGATGAGAAGTAAAGGAGGCCTGAGCCCCCAGGAGGGGGCATGGAGGGCAGGGACTATCCTTTGGTATGAATTAGATGACATTTGAATGAGATGTCAGAACTTGGAGTCTGGGTGGGGGCTGAATGGCTGGCTTCTGGCTGGGGTCACCATCCCCCAAAATATGTAATGCAGGGGAAATAGGAGGTCCCCTCCAAGCCTCAGGGATTGTGGGGTCTCACCACCAACAGGACAACCACTGCCTGATTTGCCATTTTGGAGGAGAGGCCCATGACCCAGGAACAGCCTCCAAGATCCACCTCCATAGTCCAGTTTTTCCTTTGAGAGCCAAGAGAACACTTTGGGATGAAGAGGAAGGAGTTTAGAGGGCAGGTAGTGGCTTTGTGTCAATAACCTCAAATATGCAAATGACACCACCCTTATGGCAGAAAGTGAAGAAGAACTGAAAGAGGAGAGTGAAAAAGTGAAAAGTTAAAACTCACCATTCAGAAAACTAAGATCATGGAATCTGGTCCCATCACTTCATGGCAAATAGATGGGGAAACGGTGGAAGCAGTGTCTGACTTTATTTTTTTGAGCTCCAAAATCACTGCAGATGGTGATTGCAGCCATGAAATTAAAAGACACTAACTCCTTGGAAGAAAAGTTATGACCAACCTAGACAGCATATTAAAAAGCAGAGACATTACTTTGTCAACAAAGGTCCGTCTAGTCAAGGTTATGGTTTTTCCAGTAGTCATGTATGGATGTGACTATAAAGAAAGGTGAATGCAGAAGAATTGATGCTTTTGAACTGTGGTGTTGGAGAAGACTCTTGAGAGTCCCTTGGACTGCAAGGAGATCCAACCAGTCCATCCTAAAGGAGATCAGTCCTGGGTATTCATTGGAAGGACTGATTTTGAAGCTGCAACTCCAATACTTTGGCCACCTGATGCGAAGAGCTGACTCATTTGAAAAGACCCTGACATTGGGAAAGATTGAAGGTGGGAGGAGAAGGGGATGACAGAGGATGAGATGGTTGGATGGCATCACCGACTCAATGGACATGAGTTTGGGTAAACTCCGGGAGTTGGAGATGGACAGGGAGGCCTGGCGTGCTGCGGTTCCTGGGGTCACAAAGAGTCGGACATGACTGAGCGACTGAACTGAACTGAACTGAGTGGCTTTGTGACTTCTCAGGTGGTGCTAGTGGTAAAGAACCTGCCTGCGAATGCAGAAGACACAGGAGACCTGGGTTTGATCCCTGTGTTGGGAAAATCCCTTGGAGGAGGGCGTGGTCGCTCACTCCAGTACTCATGCCTGTAGAATCCCCCTGGACAGTGGAACCTGGCGGGCTACAGTCCATAGGGTAGCAAAGAGTTGGACACGACTGCAGCAACTGAACATGCACACGCACAGTGGATTGTGGGTGGGCAGCCCAGAGGTGAGGGGGAGTCGTGGGGCCATCTAAGCCGTGAAACAAGAAGTGGCTGCAGTACCTGGGGGAGAGCCCAGGATCACTGGACCGTCTTTCCATGAGAGGCGCCCACAGATGGAAGGGGGCGTGGCCTGATGGGACACGTGGGCAGCCAGTGTTTGGCTGGA